AGAGGCAGCGTCTCCCTGCAGGGCAGAGTGCGGGAGTGCTGAATGTCCAGGACAGTAAGACAAGGTTTCCTTCTGCAGAAGAGGTCAGGACCTACAAATCATTATAAAATACTTGGGTTCCCTAAGCTCAGGGTTCCTCCCCTGTACTGTAACCCACTGCATGCTCGAGCGTCGCCTGGCCTTCTTTGCATTGACCTGTGGGAACTGGGGCTCAGGGAACCAGTATAAACATTCGTATTTATTTAGTTATTCCCAGGTATCGAAGGAAAACGGTAGCTTTATAACAGAGAAATCTGGCCAGTACCACCTTTAGGAGGGGATCAAACAACGCAGCCAATAATGGGACAAACTGAAAGCACGTGCCCCTTAATGTAACGCCTGGAGAAGACCCTACACCACCTCCATCGTTTCCTTGTTAAAAATCTATAGCTTGATTCTAATCATGAGGAAAAACAAATCCAAATTGAGGGATATGCCACAAAAATATTAACATCACGAAATACAGCAAAGGATGAGGGAACTCTTCTCGACTACAGGGGACTAAACAGATGGGCGAGACAGACCCTGGCCAGTAGGGAGGGAGCAGAGGCTGGGAGCCACTAAAAAAAATTTTTCTGTTTAATGCCTCAGCAGTCGACGACTCAGCGAGGGCTGCTTCGGCTGCTTGTTCCAAAGCACACTGGGAGCTGCTGGGCAAATACCTGAGCAGCCTTTTGGCCCTAAACCCGCGCTGGCCTGAGTCCCCTGCTGCGGGGCCTCCTGCCCAGTGCAGGCAGCCCTCGTCGCTTTCCCTTCAAACCCAGCTACGGAAGGCGCCGTGAAGCCACTCAAAGCTCAAGTCTGGCTTTCCAGAAACAGCCACCGGCCAAGAAATGTGTCACTGGGGGAAAGGAAAGGGAAACATAACCAAAGGCCCAGGGTACAGGCACCCTCTCCTCTCTTTCTCTCTAGAAAACAGAGTGCTCGCCTTTCTTTACCCTCATCCTTTTTCCCTCTTATTGTCTGTTCAGGGAAAGTTGAGTCTGTGGCTAATCCTTGAGATCACGAATGAGTCAAAGATGGGTTTGGAGCCCAGCTTCTCCGTCTACCAAGTGAGAACACTGATGCAGCCTTCTCCTGGGAGTAAGTGGACGTCAGTGAGATAACGCACAGTGCTTGGCGTGTGGGGACAGGAGACAAGGGTCAGCTCTCCTCCCCCAGGAGTGTCTGAACGGGGCTGGAGGTGGACATCACCACTCCTGGTGCCTCTCCCACCGCCCTGGGGAAGTGTCCAGTCACCCACTGAGCAGATGAGATGGGCCTCAAATCAGACGCCGAGGATGCCGTAGGGAGGAGGCTGGAGAAGGGGGCTGGGACTTCACTTGTGTAAGCTGCACGCCTAAAATCAGCCCAGGCAGAAGACCCTGGGAATTCCCTGTCATCTTCAGTGTAAGTGTCGTATTCGTAACTCTGAGTCACTGCAGCCCTTGTTCACAGCAGCTCAGCACGCGGAGACGGGCCGTAACAGGAAACGAGGGGCACACCCCGAAACGGGGGCCTCACCCACCCACAGGCCAGGGGACGCCCTGGGCCCGCCCGGCCTGGCTGCTCTGCTCTTAGAAGCACCTTGACAGGCTCAGGGCATCTGTGTTACCGAAGCAGGCTTTCTCTCTCATCCCATTAACTCTTTATTATGGGTCCTTTGCTCCCAAATAGTCTGCCCTGCTTTGGGGTCATAAACTCACAGGGAAAGTCAGGCTTCTCCGTGGCTTGCTTACAAGCAGTGCCTGGCCCGTCTGGGACCAGGCACCTGAGTGGGTCTGAGGGCATCTGTCCGCCTCTCCGCATGAACACACCTGCCTGGATACCTCTGCTCATCCCAGTCTCTGTGTGAAAAAAACAAATTGTCCCAGGAGTGATTCCTCAGCTTCAGGGACGTGGATGCCTGAGGTGCAGAATTCATGAAAGGGAGTGGAGCGGCAGAAAGGGGAGTGGAGGTCAGATAAGAGCAGCTGAGCTGGGCGTGTTCACCAGGCAGGGAGAGGCGCCCTCCTCACTTCCTGATTTTCCAGTCACTTGGCCAGCGCCTGAAACAGGGATCAGCAATCACGGCTGTAAGCCAAGGCCTCCCCATCCTGCCCCTGGCAGCCCCATCAAATGCTGTGCAGGGCGGAGGGTAGCCCCATTCCCCTGCCTCTCAGGTGTGCAGAGAAGTTTCCAAACCATAGCAACCTCAATACTCAGCCACAGTTACTCAACAAACAAGGCAAACTGGCCGCCCCATTAAAACATTCTCAACTCCCGGCCCACCTTCAGTGAGCTTGAGCTTCTTTTCAGGACCAGGCATGGGGATCCCAATTCAGCCATGCCTTGTGGACCCAGCTCTGACCTGTGGGAGTTCCAGGGCTGTAGGTGGAACCCTGCGGCTTTGGATGTTAGCGTCACAGCAGAGCAGGTGACGAGGGCCTCTATCAGGTGATCAGCATGGGCTGCTACTGGGAGGGGGTGCGGTGCCCTTGTCCATCTCCCAGGTCCCTGAGCTCCTCCCCATCCCCACATTAGGTGACCAAGGGTCCCCAGGCCTTCTCGGGGTGATACTGCTGAATGGTGGGTCTGTGGTCCAGCTACTCCTCAGGAACCTGAGACTCTTCTACTGTCTCCCGCCCCTGATACTTCCTGGGTCCCGGGCTGACCCTCACACTCCATCAAATTCCCTTCAAAAGAGTCCTTCCCTTTTATCCTTCCTCCTCCTCCTCTCTAAATCCCTCCCTCTCTCTTTTTGGTGGCATCCCCTCCTCTCTCCCCTCCTGTTACCAGAGAACTTAAGCCACCTTTTCTCCAATCACCGTGGTCAGTGGCCTGACTATCAGTCTGTGAAGCTGTGGAGAACCCAGGTGTTCACATCACAAAAGCCTGGCCCTCCCTGTAGGAGGGGGAGGAGGAAAGAATTTCCACTCCTTCTACTGAGTCATTCCCCTCAACCCCCACCACCCACCTTCCACAAAAATCAAAGGGAGGGTGCTTCTTACGCAGTGATGGAAAAGCAAAATGTCAACTTAGAAAAAAACAAAGGCTCAAACAAACTAGAACTGGTAAGGTTCAGAAAGTCTGCCAGACGCAAGATCACCCTGCACAAATCAACAGCATATCTCCCCACCCACAACAGCTGCTAGAAAATATTACTAATAAGATACCATTCTGAAAAGAAAAAATAAATATGTATGTATATGTATAACTGAATCACCTTGCTGTACACCTGAAATCAACTACACTTCAATAAAAAATAAATGAAAGATACCATTCATAACAGCAACAGAAATTACAGAATATCTAGGTGTTAACCAAGAATACACAAAAATTCTATACAAAAATTTTAAAAATTCTAGTAAACAGAAAATAATCTGAACACACAGAGCACGTTCCATGCTTTTGGATTGGCTGTCCTAATATAGGGTGACTCTATAAAGACCTAATTGAATTCATGATTAACCTACAAATTCAGTGCAATCCTACTCAAAATTCCAATTGGATTTCTTTTTGAGGAATATGAAATAAGTAAATAAATACTAAACTTTTTAAAAAGAAGAGTAAAGAAGGGAGACTTGCTCAGTCAAACACCCTACAAACCCGAAGTAATACAGCGTGGTACCAGCTCAGTGACAGAACAAAAACCACAGCAACACATCCATGGGCTGTATGTGTATTACACACACATATATGTATCAAAACATCACATAAAAACACACCTTCTCAGTGGGTTTAGCCACAAGTTAAGGTTTTGTTGGGATATTCTGCTACCCTACTACACTCTAACAAGTACACCTGAGAAACAGCGTTGGTGACAGTATCTTGAGGTCCCTGTATGACTCCAACTGAGCTACATGAAACTGGCTCTGGTAGGGGGACTGCACACCACGTTCTACGGGTCTGGCTTTCTGGAGCTGCCTCCCAGAGTCAGCAGCAGCAACACATCCCTGTGGCGCGAGACGTTAAGAAGCCGAGGCAAAGGAAAAGAACTGTGGGGAGCCGTGTGATGGTGCTTAAGGCTCTTGCCTGGAGGTGAAACATACCATGCTATTGACATTTCATTGATGAAGCAAGTCACATGGCCGCACTTCAGTGATTCAGGAAAATGTGGCCCACCCATGTGCTCAGTAGCCCAGGAACTGGAAATATCTGGTGAACGGCACTTGTGATTACCACAGCTCCGAAGACATGTGAATCTAGGAATTACAGGCCAGAAGTTGCTCTGATACATCAAAATATTTACCAGTGGATTCCATCACCACCCTGCCCCCTGCGCGACTGCTCAGCTTTCTCACCTGTGATAACACGCTCAAAATTATACCAAGATTGGGGTTCTGCAAGGTCAGGGACAGTTTCTGTCTTTACCTTTCTAACACAGAACACCTGTTTTGTCTTCACCGGGTGCTAAATTTAGATTTGCTGAACTGAAGAGACACTGGAGGCAAGCATTCCCAATGACACCCATTTCTCATCTTCATTCTTACTTTGTTACCAAATTCTGTCTTAGGACATTCCAGGGCAGATGGTGGGGGGAGGGGAAGGCTGCTGTTTTTCTAGGACATTGGGTTATTTAGACGGTTCTAGGTGGCCAGTGTTTCTCAGCCAAGAGCCCCGAGCTTGAACTCACCCATGTCAGGGACTCCAGAAGGACATTTCGGCCTTATCTCACCCCAAAGCACTCACCTTACAGGTGAGGACACTGAGCCCCACAAAGAGGAATGATTTCTGTTTGCTTTAAGTGCCTGTGTAGGGCAATGTGTCCAGTGGTCCCCTGGACCTGTCCCTTCTAGAGCATTTGGAGGGAACCAATGTGTTTGGAGGATGCCCCTTCACCAGCCTCTAACCACCCTTCAACCTCTTTTGCGGTTACAACCTTTGGAATCAACCTTGGACATCCTCTGTCGTGTCCCCGCAAACCAGTGAACACAGTTTTTTGAGCTTAGCTCTAATTGCCAACCACACGCTCCTGGGTTCATCAGAATTATTCCACCGACATGGACGCCGCTGCCAACCGCCTGGTCAGCCCGCACATGCAGGCCTCCCAGACCTACCTGTCCCTGGGTGTCTACTTCGACCGTGAGGATGTGGTTCTGGAAGATGTGGGCCGCTTCTTCTGAGAGCTGGCCAGGGAGAAGCACGATGGCCCTGAGCATTTCTTAAAGATGCAAAACCAGGACCGAGGCTGCGCCCTCTCCCAGAATGTGCAGAAGCTGTTTCTGAGATGAGTGGGATAAAATCCAGGACGTGATAGGAAACACCAAGATCGTGGAGAAGAACGTGGACCCGGCCCTTTTGGATCTGCGTGCCCTGGGTCCTGCCCGGGCAGACCCCCAGCTCCGACTTTCTGGAGGCCACGCCCTAGCTGAGCAGGTGAAATTCATCGAGGAGATGGGTGGCCACTGGACTAACCTCCCAGGCTGGCGGCCCCCAGGCGGGGCTGGGCGAGTAGTTCTTCCAAAGCTCACCTGCAAGCATGACGAGGAGCTGCCGGAGCCCAGTGGACTTTGAGGAGCTCCTCTGCATCCCCTTGGCATCAGGGCTTCTGCCTGAGCCTCTCTCTGTAGCCACTGGAAAGCTCTTTAGCCACCCTGGAGCCCTCTCCCAAGCCTTGGACTGAATGGAAATAAAGCTTTTTGAAAGAACAAACCAAAAAGTCTATGGCCTCCTAAGTCCCTTTGCCAAAATGCTTGTGGCTGAACTGACTTTGCAAGCTCAGTCTTATGCTGTCTACCATCTTGTACCCAGCCATGCTGTAAATTGCCATGTGTTCAGCAAAAGTAAAATTAAGAGAGAGAGAGAAGGAGAGAAAGAGAGAAAGCTATTTAAATAGTGCAGATACTTCTGCCTGCTATTCCACTCAGGGAAGGGATCTGAATCTGCTGTTCCCAGTGGGTCTCGGTTCCTGCCTCCTCCTCGCTGTGTAAGAACTAGCCGGGCTTTGTGCAGTTCAAGTTCAGCCCCTAGGCACAGGCCAACCTGGGCTCCACTGAAGAGACAATATTCTCTCCCAACACTGGAGAGAAAGCTGGTCCTGTTGGGCTTCGTGAGAAATGGTGTCATGGTCTCGAACATGGCAACTTATGACCAGATTTCCCTGGGGCATCTGGACCAGCCTCACGGTCTTTAGAGCCTGAGCCCAGATGTGATGTGCCTCTGCCGTAATAACTGCCAGCACAGGAGACAGGCTGAAGGAAAGAACCCATTCAGCACAGCACACGTGTTTAATTACCCTTTGGTGATCATCTTGTGGGCAGGGGAGTATGGAGAGAATGAAACTGGAACGAATCTATACATCACTGGACTATAAAAATCATTAAAATATCGACAAATTTAAAGACTTAATGACCCAGCAAAGATGGAAAATATGCTTAAATGCGGATCTCAGTCATTAAAAATGCATCTTGCATGCCACATTTACCTCTCATGAAAATGGGGGGAAAATACACTTAGGGCAAGATCGCTAAAAGAGCGCGTTAGAAAAGCAAATGACGATGCTCACTGAGTGCCCAATGAGGCAAGAACGCGCACGTGCTCAGGGAGTCTTTCTGTGGAGGCCGGTGGCTCTGTCACCATTTAAAGCTGCAGCCAATTCACCACTTCAGAGACTTCCGAACTATGCAAGATGCAGGAAGCACTCTCCTCCTAGGGAAAGATGCCAGAAAGGGTCTGGCAGGGCAGAAGTGCCAAGGGGTAAGGCTGCTGGAGAAATGTATATGGCGAGGAACGCTGAGGCGAGCAACTTACCAGAAGAGACCAAACTAGTCTCATACCGAAGCATGGTTTTATTGTTTTTTTTTTTTTTTTTACCTAGCCCTTAGTTTCTGTATTAGTTTGCTAGGCTACTGCAACAAAGTAACAGAGTCCAGGCAGTTTAAAAAACAGATATTTATTTTTTCCCGGAGGTGAGAGGTCTGAGATCAAGGTGCTGGCAAGGCTGGTTTCCTGTGAGGCCTCTCCTTGGCCGCCTTCTCCCTGTGTCTTCACATCAACTTCCCTCTGCCTGTCTGCGTCCATATCTCTTTTTATAAGGACACCAGTCATACTGGATTAGGGCCCACCCTAAAGACCTCATGCTAACTTAAATTACCTCTTTCAAGACTCAGTTTCCAAATCAGTCACATTCTAGGGGGCTGGTTCTTAGGACTTCCACATATAAATTTGGGAGAGGGCACAATTCAAGCCATAACAGTTGCTAAGTGATGATAACCCATCCAAAAGGAGGCTTGAGGTGGAGGGGTTGTTTTATTTTATAGAGAAAAGTAAAAGCTCATGGTGTGTGGAGTGGCTTCTGCCTGTCTAAGGTGTTTGACTCAGTGAAACTCCAGCTTACAAGGACTCCCATCAGCATGGACATGGGCGGAGAGGGGCAGATGTCAGGGCTGGGAGCCATGAACCAGTTTGTGATCTTCAGCAAATAACACACCCCTCCCAAACCTCAATTTCCTCATTTGTGAAACAAAGGAGTGATGTGGGTGAGCTGGATGTGGTGACTGCCACCCCAGCCCACTTCTTCAAGCCGTCCTGTGTGCAGAGACAAGAAGACAGAAAACTGCCCTTCTCAGGTCCCTTTCCAGCTGGAGTTCTGGTTATGAATCAGGTTCCCCCCACCCCACTACCATAAGAGGCACTGGTATGAGACTGGGAAACAAACTGAAGCAAGGCTGCCTTCCTGTTGCCCTTTCTACCCGCCAATCCAATCGGAAAGGAGGTGTGGAGGCTGGAGTCAGCATTCCAGGAGGAAGGGCTCCAAGAGCAGTCGTGGGGATGAAGCGCCGCAGGGTAGTGCCCCCCGGAATCTCTCCCGAAGAGATGCTGGCAAAAGACGAAAAACGTGCACAAGCATGTTCATCGCTGCACTGTTCTAACAGAAAAGGACTAGTAGCAACCCTAGTGGCCGTGAACAGGGAATTGGCTGAATAAATGACTACATCCACACACACCATGGAATGTTCCACAGCTCTGCAAAGGAAGAAGAAGGATATTTCCAAACACTGCTGTGAATGTAAACTACTATGTACAGAATAGATACACAACAAGGTCCCACTGTATAGCACAGGGAACTATATTCAATGGCTTGCAGTAACCTGTAATGAAAAAAAGAATATATATGTATAACTGAATCACTATGCTGTACATCAGAAACTAACACAACAACTACACAACTGTAAATCAACTACACTTCATTAAAACAAAATAATCCAAGACTGCTATGGAGTCATCTTCAGGACATACAGTTAAGTGAAAAAAACAAAGGAGCAAAAAGGCATATACCATTTAGAAAGGGGACATAGCTATGTATATTTAAAAGAAATCTCAGAAGAATAAATAGAAAAGCTATTTCCTTTTTTCATAGTAAAAATAAAAAATAATGTGACTAAGGTGTCAGGCCTGGTAGTGAAAGTAGAAACAAAGGGATAAGTGCCTGGGCCTCCTTTCCCACTTAGTTCATGGAGTGGGGAGGGGGAAGCCGCTGGCGTCGGGGAGGGGAGGGGAGAGGAGGGCGGGGGAGGGGTGGGGGAGAGGAGGGAAATGAGTATTGGCTGAATGGCTGCCATTGTAGCACCTGGGCCAGGCGCTTCAAATACATTTTCTCCTTTAATCATTTACAGTTTCCCTTTGAAGTAGGTATTTTTATTACCCCCAGTTCTTAGATAAGGAGAGGAAAGACCAGTTTCTGTCTCGTCACACATTCCCAGAGTGTGGTAACAGGCCTGGCCGCAATAGAGGGGTCAGGTCCCAGCCAGGACCTCTCCCCAGCTTCCCATCCTCTCCCATCTACCTGCAGAGGGAGGGAGGGATGGGCTCTAAGCCACCAGCTTTCACTTTGATTGCATATTAAAATCACCTGAGGAGCTTTAAAAATCACTGATGCTCAGGTCCTTCCCCCAGAGATTCAGACTTAACACATGGGTTGCGGCCTAGCCATGGGGTATTTAGAAGCTCCCCAGGTAATCCTAACGTGCAGCCAAGTTTAAGAACTACCACTCTGAGCTCGTGCTCCTTTCACGTGTGGTTGGTGCCAGAACCATTGGCATCACCTGGGAGCACCCAGACGTACTGAATGAGAAACCTGGGGGAAGTGAAGGGAAGGGGGCCAGTGGCCTGTATTTTCTCAAGCCTTCCACATGATTCTACGTCCCCTAAAGCTTGAGAATCACTGCTTCAAGCAGCAAGCTAGAGACAGAGCCTCATGCACCATGGTGTGCTTTGTCAACTACCAGACAACTGCTATGTTTATTACCAAGTAAGATGTTTGATGGTTCCAGGCAATGAGACTGTCCAGGCCTTTCCCCCAAGGATGAAACCTCGAGGCCTGTGAGAATGTGTTTAAATGTGTAACTTGGAATCAACTGGAACTCACTGTAGCCTCTGGGAAGGGGAGCAGTATTATCAAAATATGATGGTGCTGCTCGGTAACTATGAACCAAAAGCTGCCAAAGAGGGCCTGGAGGGAGAATACGGCCCCAGGGACAGATGGACCAGGGTGAGTAGCCTGGGTGGCCCAGTGCACTGGCAACCCCACGTGCCAAGGCTCCTCGACTTGAGTGGTGTCTTAATTTCCAAAGGCTGCTGAAACAAATGAATAAACTTAATGACTCAAAGCAACAGACACCTATTCTTTCACAGTTTTGGAGGACAGCAGTTGGAAATCAAGGTATCGGCAGGGTTGGTTCCTCCTGGAAGGTCTGAGGAAGGGTCTGTTCCATGCCTCTCCTGGCTTCTCCTGCCCGCGGGAAACCCTTGAGGTTCTTTGGGTTTGTGGACAAACTGCTCCAATCTCTGCCTTTGTCTTCACATGACCTTCCCCTGTGTCTCAGATTTCCCTCTCCTTTCTCTTATAAGGACAATCATTGGATTTAGGGCCCACCCTAAATCGGGGATGACCTGATCTCAAGATCCTTCACTTAATCACATCTGCAAAGATTCTATTTCCAAGTAAGGTAGGTGTTTACGGTGGGGCGGGGGGTGGTTAGGATTTGGATGTATCTTTTGGTGGGAAACAAAGTGGGAACAAGTGGGAAACAAATTCTGCTTTCTCACAGCTTCCTTCTCTAATGCTGATTCTTAGCAGAGGGATATTTATTATCTGAGACACCTCCATTTCCCGCAGGGCAAACACAGTGGGCCTGGAATACAGCTCTAGTTCCTGTCTTCACAGAATTCGCCATCATACAAAGTGCTTTCATGTGTGCCAGCTGAAGCCTTGCCACAGAGCCGTGACATCTCTGTGCTACTATAGAGGAAGAAGCTGAGGCTCAGGGTGGCTGACTGGCCCAAGCTCTCAGAACCAGGAAGGGGTAGTCCTCCCACTCAAATTGTGCTGCCCCTTCTGCTGGGATCAGCTGTGAGCAGGAGTCAAGGCTGAGCCTGACTGTCTTCCAGAAAGTGGGGGCCGAGGGAGCTCTTACCTGAGACCAGTAGTGGAATCAAGACCCAGTTCATGAGGGATGGTCTGGGCACTCTTTTCTGTTTCCCATGATCTCCTTCAACGCCCGTTCTACAAACAC